TGGGCCGCTGTCCCTCAGCTCTTCAGCTCAAAGCAAGCTCTCTACCACTTGAGCCACAGCACCACTTCCGGTTTTCTGGTGGTTTATTGGAGATAGGAATCTCACGGTCTCTCCTGCCCGGGCTGGCTTTGAACCGCAATCCTCAGATCTCAGCCTCCTGAGTAGCTAGGATTACAGGCGTGAGCCACCAGCGCCACCCGGCTCCAAGATTCTTTTTTTTACCTAAAGTACATTCACTTTTCAACAAATGTGTATAGGCAAGTATCCACTCCTGCAATCAAAATACAGAACAGTTCCAGCATTCCAGAAGAGTTTCATGGTGCTCTGATCCACTCATTCTGCTTACTTGCGTCTTCCATCTATTTCTCTCCTTCATCCTAGTTATCCCACTCTTCTTCTCTACCACCAGTGACTCCACTTCCACACAGACCTTCCTTTCTCTGCTCACAGTCTTCTACAGCCTTTGCTCACGCTGATAGGATTGCACTTGGCTTTGCCTTCCTTTGCATTTCTTATTTTTCCTGGGACTTCACTGCTAGATTTCTCGGTGAAGTATATATCCAGTCTCTGATTACTTACTTCTCTCCTTTTGTCCTATTATTCTGACTTCAGTCTCTAAAAATTTCACTTCAGCTATTCTTTCCACTGTTACTAGTGGCATTTTTAATTAGTCTGGGCTTTTTTATGTTGGGTATCCCTTTTTTTTTTGGTCGGTCGTGGGGCCTAAACTCTGGGCCTGGGCGCTGTCCTTCAGCTCTTCAGCTGTTGACCAGTGCTCTACCACTTGAGCCTCAGCCCCACTCCCAGCTTTCTCTGCTTATGTGGTGCTAAAGAATCAAACCCAGGGCCTCATGTATGCAAGGCAAGCGCTCTACCATTGGGCCACCTTCCCAGCCCCTGCCTATCCCTTTTCAAAGCTCATTTCCTTTCAGTTTATTAACTTCATATTTGGGGTGATTTAGTTTGGGGCATGTTTGAATTCACTGCACACAAAAAAAGGAAAGACAGTATGGGCTGGAGGTTTTTCCAGCATAACACCTCTGACCTTTAGTGTGTGCACATAAGTTGCTTCTGTACCCTCTGTGCTCCTGCTTCTCTGCAGGCCTCTTCTCTCTGCACCTGACTTTCCCACAGTATTTTCAGTCAAGGCCCTGGCTGATTCATTTGTCCCCTATTCCAGTTCCCTAGGGACAGGAAGTCCAATTGCTGTTCCTACCTGCGGTTCTGGTGTTCAGTTCAAGAAACAACGTTCTTGGTTCAACCAGCCAGGGCTGTGGTTCATGAGGTTAGCTTAGAGGAATATACCATGGCCATGGGGCCTCTGGGTGCCATTGGAGCCATAGAGAAACAGTCCCTCTCCCTTTTGTCTTTTTCTCGTATTCTCAACACTTAAACTCCTTGTACTCATTCATTTAGGGTATCAAGAAGAATTGTAAACAGATTGAGTCTGCTCACTTACTACCTGAGACACCTGTTCAGTTCATACCTCCAAATACACTGAACCTTCGTAGCTTCACCAAGATCATGAAGAGACTGACCGAACTGCATCCAGAAGTCAGCAGGTAATAGCTGAAGTTATATTAAAATGAATTTTCAACTTCTCATAGTTATTTTTTCAGCACTGGGGTTTGAACTCAGGACCTTACACGTACTGAGTTGATTCTGTATCATTAGAGCCATGTCTCTAGTCTCTAATTTTAAATTGTGAAAATAAAATTATAGATTGGTATAGCCAGGTACCAGTGGCTCATGTCTGTAATCCTAGCTACTCAGGAGACCGAGATGTGAGGATTGGGGTTTGAAGCTAGCCCAGGCGGGAAAGTCTGGAGATCTTATCTCCAATTAACTACCAAAAAAGCCAGGAATGGAAGGAACTGTAGCTCAAGTGGTAGAGCGCTAGCCTTGAGCAAGAAGGCTCAGAGATAGTGCCTATGCCCTGAGTTCCAGCCCCTATACCAACACAATAGATAGAAAGATAGAGCCAGGCAGCGGTGGCTCCTATCTGTAATCCTAGCTACTCAGGAGGCTGAGATCTGAGGATCGAGGTTCAAAGCCAGCCTGGGCAGGAAAGTCCATGAAACTTTTATCTCCAATAAACCAGAAAACCAGAAATGGCGCTGTAGCTCAAGTGGTAGAGCACTCGCCTTGAGCTGAAGAGCTGAGGGACAGTGCCCAGGCCCAGAGTTCAAGCCCCACGACAAAGAAAGAAAAAAGAAAAGAAGGAAGGGAAGATAGGAAGGGAAAGGAAGGAAGAAAGAAAGAGAGACACAGATAGATAGATAGATAGATAGATAGATAGATAGATAGATAGATAGAGAGAGAGAGAGAGATAGATAGATAGATAGATAGATAGATAGATAGATAACTTAGCCTCCTCAAAACCTACTACTGTGGAAAGGGGAAATGTTTATGTCTATTTTCCTTTACACAGAGACCATATTATCGATGCACTCCAGGAGGTGAGGATGACTCATAAAGGTTTCCTCAATGGCTTATCTATTAATACAATTGTGGAAATGACGTCATCTGTTCTGAAAAACTCTGCTTCTGCTTAGGAATGAAACATTAAAGAGGTAATAGCTTCAACTATTAGCTTTGTTTTTACATGAAGAATAAATTTAAATGGTGCTATAATAAAATAAACTTTAGCCGGGCACTGGTGGCTCACGCCTGTAATCCTAGCTACTCAGGAGGCTGAGATCTGAGGATCATGGTTCAAAGCCAGCCCGGGCAGGAAAGACC